ATTCACGTAGTTGTAAACAGCATGATAATATATTAAGTAATCCAAAGTATTCAGAATACGTTACTCTCATTGAGTAACGTAACGGAATACATTACAGAATACATTTTTGGGCATGTATTCTGTATTCTGTAATGGAATACATTTTAAAAGTAACCTTCCCAACACTATTGGTTAGCGGGCGATCACCAGAATAGCAGCTCATATCTATTTTAGGATGGTGTTTTTGCTAGTGTCATGATCTGACACTCTTATATTTTGAGTAGGAGCCAGTTGTTAGCGGTTGAAGTGTTTGGATTGGCTCCAAGAACTATCAGCAGGAGGTTTGGGAAAAGGCTCGACTGACTAAGATGGAATACACAGCAATAAGAAATGTACAGGCTTGAGAGTCTGCGTAAATGGTTTGTTAATAGAACATTTTAACAAGTGCTAAACTGAGACACAACACATATTAACATAATGGATTTTTTTTTTACCCAACTTGAGATGCATATCTGAAAAATGCCTGGCTGTGTTATTACCGGCTTCAGAATACCACAATGAGATGTCGACATGGTGCAAGACGAACGCTTCACTCCTTTGTGCGAGCTAATCTCACATAGGAACCAGATTTTGAGTGTCTGAGTCAGGGTTAGAGGCCAGCGGAGCAGAGGGGAAGCTGCCTGTGTACTTCAGCTATGGCCCAGGCTAACCTCTGACCTTTGACTCTCCTGTGCCACAGGGTATTCCTATGTTCCCATTGGTGACAGACAGGATGTGCTCTGTCAGCGAGGTCACGGCTCTTTTCTCCCTTTTCTCCATTTTAGTTGTGAATTGCAGCAGTGTTGAATCTGAAAGTGTACAAGCAGCATCCTCCTCCTCGTGCATTTCTAATGACATAAAACTGTCTAAGATGGATTAAAATTGTACCTTACACACTGAAAACTATTGTTAAAGCGGGCGTTTTTATAGCATCTAAGATAAAAATGCAGCAGTGTGTGAGAGGACTTTCATTATTTCATCTCAGTATTTTCTTTCTTTTCTTTTTCTTTTTAAAAAAATGAATGGACAGATGATTGGCAGCATGTGATTTCTTACACTGTTGGTTTGCGTGTTGCAAGAGAACATCAAGCATTCTGTTATTTCAACAATGTAGGACTCATGTTGACTTTATCTTAGATAAGTTGGAAATTGCTTTGTTTCCTTTCTGAAGAAGGAAATTTCATGCAGGCTTTTCTCGCTGCCTTTTCCCCTCCCATTGGCAAAGAAACATCAACGACTTAAGCGGGTTTTACCCACCTAGTATGAAAACAATTGTAGAGAGCTGCCTCTCTGCTTCCAGTTGTTGTTGTTGTTGCTGCTTTTCTGCTTTAGTTTTAAATCTTTCACAGAGAAGAGACTTTTTCTTTGTCCCCAGCTGGGCCATTTTCAAAAAGTGATAAATTTGTTAGCTCCTTTTTGTTTTATGAAGCATGAAAATTTCATTGTTTATGATGGTGCAAGGGGATGTTTTCCTTATGTGTGTGATATAAAAGAGTAATATACTACAAGAGCTTAGGTTACGCATTTTCCCGTGCATGAAGCACCACAGTGGTGCCACACTGGATATATTAGAAATATTAGAATATAAAAACAACATATAGAGATTTGTTTTTCAGAGACCCTCCGCTCCAAAACAACTGAAGGGGCATTCTTCTTCTTCGCCATCTGGCTCTTTTATCCTGTTCAATGAGTTTCTTCCCTCTGCTCAAATTTGAGACTCGCGCCTTGTTAATAAACTCAACCTCTCATCCTCTGTCTTTGATTTTTGCCAGGTGTAGCTGCAGCGCTCGCCCGCACCGCCTGGCAAGATGGTGGCGTTGTCACTGAAAATCTGCGTGCGGCAATGCAACGTTGTGAAGACGATGCAGTTTGAGCCCTCCACGGCTGTCTATGATGCCTGCAGGATCATCAGAGAGAGGGTCCCAGAGGCTCAAACTGGACAGGGTGAGAATTAACCCTACTTGGTTGCAAAAACAAACTATGATTGGGGGTTTTCTTTGTAAAGACAAAGAAAGAAGTATAAACTTTACTGGCCGTGGTGAAGACTTTTGCAGCAAAAAGCAATATGTTGGAAATGTGGCTTAGATAATATTTGATTTACAAAATGTAGAGACGTTAAAGTCTCATTTGGTAGGTTTATATGTCAATTACACTGCTTTAAATTGGATTGCAGTCAATAAACAAAATTATCTTATGTCAAATCTGTGAGAAGACTTGGTTATAAATACAAAAAAAAAAAGAATCAAGTTTTCAACTGCACAGATTTGTGTCTTTCTTGGTAATGCTACCCAATAAACGAATGCTTGGATTAGATTATGTCACAATTTTGGCTGCTGTCCTTCTGATTAAGTCAGTGGGTGTCAAACCTTTTCAGACATGAACCTTCTTTCAGACCCTCCCTCCTCCCCACCCCCCCAAAAGAAAAACAAAAAAAACACAACAACTTGTTTTTGTGTATCAATCACTGATTCAAGTTGACATCCAGCGATTGAAATGTCAATATGACAATTAAATCGTGTTTAATTGCTTTACATAAATCACATTTGTGTTAAAATTAGATTTCATTGGCTCTTTACACTGCAAAGTTAGTCCCACAGTTTAAGAACCACTGAATTAAGCAACCATGGAATCTGAAATTTTTGCCATTACTTCCATGACCCCAATGCTAGCTTTCCATTTTACACAAGTAGCAGGTCTGACTTATCTGTTCCATTCAGCAGCACCAAAGTCATCATCCCTCTTTTGATTTTCCATGTTTACAGACTTGCCTTGCGCTCTTATGACCATTGTTACAGAACATGTGGTGAATGCTGTCATAGAGGGGTCATTATAGAGTTCATGTCATTTAATCTGATCCTGGCCTAGGGAGTCATTTTCAGTTCTTTAATGTCTAAAGTAGAGTTGTTTCTTCTCACTGCTACAGCTTCAGACTATGGCCTGTTTCTTTCGGATGAAGACCCCAGAAAAGGCATCTGGTTGGAATCTGGAAGGACGCTGGATTACTACATGCTCCGCAATGGGGTAAATAAATGTAACCGTGAATTATGGATAACTGGCATCATGGGTGACACACACACACACACGCATGTGAATAACGCTGTGTCATAAACAGCATAAACTGATGCTTGGTGGTCCCAGCGTCTCACACATTTTCTAATCATTGGAGGTAGCAAAATTACAAACACTCTTCACTTAAGTAGAGGTACAGATACTTGTGTTTTTAAAAAAAATACAGTTGTAAAAGTTGGAAGTACTGGTACTAACTCAAGTAAATAAAAGGCTAACTGAACTTCCTGCCACAATAACACCATACTTATATAAAAAATAATATTAATACAAAGGAATGTGAATCTCATTTCAACCTAAATTCGAATTCTAATGAATTTATTCAGCTTGAACATCTGTTAAGTAGAATTGAAGCAGAGAAAATCTATCTCTCTTTGCCTTTGCCTGCATTATAGATGAATGACTTTGCCACCATACCTGAGCAAATATACGCAGATATTATATGAGTTATTATGGCTGATTTCCCATAAAGGTGGAATTTAGTGAGTGAATCTAATCAGCATCATCAACTTAAATATAATTTACCCTTGATGGAACATAACATTGACTATGAACAGCACAGCTTCGCTGCACCAATCCAACATGGTGCATTACTGCAAACGGATCAGTGAAACCTTTGGAAAACAAAATGTTGGTGCACTTTAATTTGATTTGCAGAATATTTCACAATATGAAAAAAGCAAGATTATTCTATAAATCCCATATGTGTTTAAAAGGCTTTAAATTTCCACATTGTCAAATGTCCTGGAGTAGCTGCCTTCTCCCTCTGCTGTCCGGCTTTATATCTTTCCATCTCTTAGTAAAGTTAGAGCTCATTCTTTTCCCTTCCTGGGAAATACGGCAGCTGAACATTTAGTTAGCAGACACACTGTGTGACAAACTACAGACCAACACTTTGTGTGTTTGCTGATATTTGGTGAGCTGCCAGAAATCTGAAATTAGCCGTCACTTAAAAGAAAAAGAAAAGTTTACTCCCTTCATGCTCACTCCTCTTCTGCAGTGCTAGTTTTGCATGTATTGCAACCATAACCCCTGAGTGTAGTACAATAAGTCATATAATTTTGTGTATTTTTTATGTATTTTGTATTATGTATTTTTTCTTCCTGTTTCTTGTCTCTTTCACCCTCCCCCTTTTTTTAAGTGCGTAACCATCGATGGATCCACCAGTATATTGTCTAGTTTTGTTTAAATGTGTGTAATGGCAGGAAACATCTCCCCTCAGATGTTACCTAATGTAATGTAACAAGCCTGTTTTCAAAATATAAGAAGTACAAAGTTAGAGGTACTTGTTTTATAATGTAGGGAGGACAAAATAATTCTGCTTAAATACAATTTCAAAGTCTTGATACTTTGTTACTTCGCGCCTCTGCTAACAATACGTCTGTTACCTGGCCTTAAGAGTGGGAGTGGGAGTTAAAGCCTTGCAGTGTTGAATATATCAGCAAAATGCTTCATTGTTTGAGTGTATTTAAACATTTTATCTGAATTAAAAAACAACATTTTTGATCGACATAAATTAACTAAAGAGAAATTGAAACGGCTGCCAAAAATCTCATTCAGACACACATCATGCACAGGAAGACAAAACAAAGAAGCACCCTGAGAAAATAAAAGCATAAGCTAAAACTGGGAACCAAGACACTGAGAACATCAAAAGAAGATTTTAAAAGCGATCCTTAAAGAAGTGCTATAGCCAGCTTTAGATCGCTTGCCAGCTTGTTTCAGAGGCTCTGATTCTCACTGCCAAAGGCCTGATACACTCTGGTGTTCTATTTAACTGCGTATCACAGCCCCTCGGTACATTTGTGCTTGTGGTTTTGCAGCTCTAAATGGTTTCTTCTCTTTAAATCCACCAAAGGCAACCCAGGTAGAAGGCATGACTGTGACCAATTATTCTGAACCAAATCTCGTCTCATTGTTGAGATTGGAGGGGAGCAGCAGGCTGTGATAGGCAGCCGTTAAATACGGTTTTCTGGCCTTTATTCTCCCCTCTCTCCGCGCAACCTGGATGCTTGTGATCTTTTTCTAAGTAGTTACTTTGACTCTCTCTCTCCCTTCATTCTTCTTTCTTCATTTTACTCACATTTTCCCCCTCTCTCTACCTTTTTTGTTTTCAACCAGGATATTCTCGAATACAAGAAGAAGCAAAGACCACAGAAAATTAAAATGCTGGATGGGGCTGTCAAAACTATCATGGTGGACGACTCCAAAACAGTGGGAGAGCTGCTTGTGACTATATGCAGTAGAATAGGTACATCATATCTTTGTTTTCTTATGCTGCCAATCCTCTCTGTGTTACAAATCTGTTGAATCTGAGCTGAACCTTTATGGACACACACACAAGAAAAGAATAATCTTTCCATGTGAAATCCTTTTCCTCCTATCTCTGATGGGAATCCTTTCTTTCCCCAGGCATTACAAACTATGAGGAATACTCTCTGATCCAGGAGACGGTGGAGGAGAAGAAGGAGGATGGCATGGGTACCCTGAAGAAAGACAGAACACTTTTGCGAGACGAGAGGAAGATGGAAAAGCTGAAAGCCAAGCTTCACACAGACGATGACTGTGAGTTCAAGAAAGAAATGCAAACATGAGTTTTCCCAATTTTTTTTTTTATTTTAAAGTGAAGTCTTTTACCAGAAACATGTTATATATGGAAAGCAGCACACAGTGGCAGTTTAGTAGCCCACGTTCACAGCTCTCTGCGATATCTACCAGCTTTCACTGGAATTTGGGACTACTAAATCTAAACTCCTGATCCCAGGTCAAAACATCTCACTTCCTGCCTATTTTGCATCCAAGATAGGAATGCAGCTGTATTCTGTGCCTGTGTGCGAAATCACTCCTTTCTTCCCTTTTTACTCCCTCATATATAGCAGAAGATTAAAGCCTTACTTTGTAATAAAGGTGAGCCTCACCTGGGAAGGACTGAATAGAGACGGGAAAGATGGACTTGCTTGTACTTCAAGAATAAGGGGATGTAGATTAGTCTGGTTGGGACCATAGTCTGTTTAATTTATGGTAATTATAGTTGATGTCAAATCCAAATAAATGTCCATAAATTCACTTTGCAGCATTTGTTGTCCCATAAGCTTATAATGTATATAAAACAAAGATGGAGCCACCATGAACAGCAGGTTTGAAGTCCCATCTTTAAACCTCAATTTAGCATTTTAGCTGTCTTAGCTTTCAGAAGCCAAAAGTTACTGTATTTGGAGCTATATGCAGCCCTACCAAACCTGGGTGGCAAGGTGGATCCATAGACACAGATACCTGTTTATTAGTGCTAAGTAACATATAGGTAAATAGTTAAACTGGCTTGTAGTACAGTTAACTGCAAAGTGAGCCTCCAGCACTGCAAACACTGTTATGAGTTTAGCTACAGCGTAGCAGACAGCAGCTGCCTGTTTCAGCACCCATCTGCCACTTAAAGCAGCCACGCCCCTAACACTGCAGAACTTTTATGCCTTTGTACGATTTAAACAGTTGAGTTATAAAAAAGGGCCACGTGCCACAAATGAGGAAATTTGCTACAGAGATGACAGGTGGCCCTTTTTTTTTCCTTAATCGGGCAAAATGTATTTACATTTGCTTTTTCCAGCCACTAATGTGAAGATGCAATTTGGTGTTTATCAAAAACAAATACTCGTAAATAAATAAATAAACCACACACACAAAACAAACTTGCTACTGTATATGGTGAGCATTAAATAAAGATAATAGACCTATGCCTCTTTAACAAGAGATTTCTATGAACCTGTTATTTTTTTAATTTTTTTAGTGAACTGGCTGGACCATAGCAGAACATTCAGGGAGCAGGGAGTGGACGAGAACGAGACTCTTCTCCTGAGACGCAAGTTCTTCTACTCTGACCAGAATGTAGACTCCAGAGACCCAGTTCAACTCAACCTGCTTTACGTACAGGTCTGGAACTTACTTTTAAATATGTCTTCCTCTCATTTTTCATTTCAGCAGTTCATGACTGTTGAAGCAGCAGTTTGCCAGTGTCAAAAACAGACACTTGGATAAGAGTGTCTCTCCTCTCCTGAGTAAAACAGGATGTGAGCAGACGATATGCAGTAAAATCCATTTTTCTCTTGTCTCCTAAGGGTGACAAGCAGCTACAAAAATGTGCACACGGCTGGCTGTTTTTTGATCAATTAAGGATTATGCAAGTCTAGAAAACAGATACAGTGGAAAATAAAGTCATAAACTTGATGTCTACAGTTAATTACTGACTGTTTTAATTTGTCTTTTAGGCTCGAGATGATATCCTGAACGGTTCCCACCCGGTTTCGTTTGATAAGGCCTGCGAGTTTGGAGGGATTCAGGCCCAGATCCAGTTTGGACCTCACATAGAGCATAAACACAAACCCGGATTCTTGGAGTAAGCATCTGTGTCATGACGTCTGTGGAAAAACGTGTAAAATATTAGTTTTTTTTTTTTTCTTTTTGTCAGAAATAAACAGAAAAGGAAACAACAAAAGGAGAGTTCACACTTTTTTCATTGTGTTTCATCATTCAGAGTTTCAGCTTCTTATTTTTCCTTTCTTTTCTAGCCTGAAAGAGTTTCTACCCAAAGAGTACATAAAGCAGAGAGGAGCTGAAAAGAAAATATTCCAGGTGTGTTTGTGTTGTCCCTTTTGATAAATGTACACGTTGGTGCACAAGCGTGAAACGTGGGGGATTTTCAGTGTTCTGAAAATCAATACATGAAAAATCTGACCTGCAGGAGCACAAGAACTGTGGCGAGATGACCGAGATTGAGGCAAAAGTAAAGTATGTCAAGTTGGCGCGGTCTCTGCGGACATACGGCGTCTCCTTCTTCCTCGTCAAGGTAAGTTTTTAAAATCATCCATTTGTCCTTTTACCAAATGTTTGAAGTACCAATGCTCTATTTTATTCCTTCAAAAAGTGAATATAGCCTCAAGTTCTCTACTTGCCTTTTTATTTATTTATTTATTTATTTATTGTAATAGGAAGCAGATTTTGGAATTAGTCTAACTGTAGCTGGAGCCTTTTATCTTCACAGCATGAAATCTGTCTTCTGGGTTTGGTGCTAACTGGATAAAGAGGCTGATGGTGGACTCAGCTTTTATAAACTGTCTGCTCCTATTTGAACTCTCGCAGCTCGTTATGTCACCTTAAACTAAGCAGAGTACCTGTTGTAAAAAACCAAAATTTCCCAGTGAGATGAAAGAATGCGCTGCGTGCAAAAGCAAGAACCCTTTTGTGATTTGTTTGCCATGCATTTTCCCCTTGCGCACCTCTCTCGCTAACACACATACAAACACACACCGGCAGCACCTCCTCTGCAGGGAGTTCAGTGTGTTCCTGGAAGGAAACCAAATGTTGTCTGTGCAGCCGAGTGTGGCACTAAGATTATTTCAGAGTGAGTAGGGAGGAAGTGGAGTGAATGAGATATACTAGGAGACATTGCACAGGTAAACCGGCGATACTGAATCTCTTGAAGAAGTCCAGCTGCCAACAGATACGAGCTGATGGGAGCAATTTGCAGACTTCCAAATGCAGTACCTATAAAACTGTTCTGACAAGAGTATCAGAGTGACTTTTTTCCCCACGTAATTAGTCACAAAGAGGACATCTTGCAATGGAAATCTCCATTTGCATCATTTGTTCCTGTCAGCTTCGCTGCTCTCTAGTAGAAAATTGGATATTTCCTGGTATTACTGGGACAAGTCACTTGCGCTTTTCATTAATAGCTTTCATCACAAAAGGATAAAGAGCAAAGATGCATCTTGTTTTTTGTTTTTTGAAAAGGAAAGAAAGACACTGTGTTGTATTGGTTCTCTAGCTTTTAGCAAGTGGCTTGTGTATTCCTTTATTCTATACATAGCCATTATATCTGCTCACCTTTTGTTGTCTGTCATCATTGAGGTTAATTTTATGGAGCAGAAACATTTTAAAAACAACCGTGGGAAAAAAAAAAATCAGCCGATAGTCTCTAACCTATAACCTGCAGAGGCCCCAGTGAGTTTACAGGCCCCTCAGGATTTTTGCACAATTTACCTCTTTGCCCCTCGTGTCACAGTCCATCGCTTTGTGTCTCTTCTCTAACTGCAGCTCCCGAACAAATGTTTGCTCTTTCCATCGAAGAGAAAAAGGGGGGCAGAAATGTAATGCTTCATGGCTTAGGAAGCAACTTAAGTATAACATTAAAGGTTTAGTGAATACAGGAGATCTAGCAGGAGGTTGAAAGATGTTGACAGGCAGATAAAGACATGATTTAAGATGCAACATTTTAATTGCTAACTGGGAAAAGTTAATGTTTTTCCCCCCACTGGTTGAACAGATAAGTACCCATCTTGGCATATCATTGTGACAGAAAAATTAGACCTTTGTGCTGAGAGGAAGATAAATTTACATGATTTGCTTAACTTGTTAATCTGCCCTGTGCTTCAAATGTCTCTGATCGCACTTTATACTAGAGATGGCACGATACCACTTTTTTATGTCCGATACCGATACCGATATCATAAATTTGGATATCTGCCGATACCGATATGAATCCGATATAGTGTGTTTTTTAATCAATAAAACTGTTTTTTTAATATCTTGCTGCTTTTTGTATAAGTTCATACTCAAGTTAAAAAAACAACAACAACACTAAAGCTATTCTGTTATACCTGTATGTAAAAGTAAAAAAAAAACCAAAAAAAAAAAACCACACTGCACCCAAAATATTTCATAGATCAGCAACACTGATCAATCTAATAAAGTTAAACCTGCTCCATCCTCCCTATTCTGGTATTTTAAAGAGTACTTAGCAGAAATATTAAGCAACCTAACTAATAGGGTTGCAAACTCCCAGCAAAAGAAAACCCTCTTCCTCATGATGCTTAATCAATGTAATCAACTTTAATTTGATGCAGGGTGAAAAAAATTCACAGAAATAAATTATTTTTCAAGAATAATTAAATAGATTCAACAGAATTGCAGACTGCACAGATGGTACTTTCCCAAAGGAAAAAGTAGTATAGCTTACTAGGGTATATTAGACTTAACAGTTACTATATACAGTAATGGACTTCTATACATTTTACATCAGATTAAAACTTTGGTTGTAAGATTCAGATAATTATTAAATAATTAAAAGCTAGATATTTTAAATGAGAATAAGAAAGAAAAGTATGTCTTTGTGCCCCCTTTTCCCTGTT